ATGTAAAATGAGCTTTTTGTCAATATGTGATGTGAAGAAACTGGTTAGCATTATGGCATATGATGGGGGTAGTATGTCTTGCTTCAATCCTGAAATTGTTTTTATTACCTGTTTTTAAGAAGGAGATTGACAAATCTGATCCTTTGCTAATTTAGGCTTTTAATAACCTCTTCTGACTCTTTAAAAAAAGTGCAGTATTCAGTGAGACAAGAGAAAACTTTTATGTGTCCGAAAATGTTCTTGGGAAAGATGTCTTCAGAAAGTGTACTGGAGAGTGACTATAATATTTTCCTGATTGTTGTTGATTGACATGAGCAAACTTGTGCTCACCAAAGGTAAAATACTTGTGCGGAGAAGCTTGGCACCCAGAAGTGCTTAGTGGAACTTAAAGGAACTGTAGCTAGTACTGGGTCTTCTCAGGTTGGATTTATTTCCAGTGCTTAAGCATTGGTGTGATTATAGAGCTTTTCACAGTATCCTTACACTGCACAGGACATTTCTATAAAACTTGTTACTTTTATGAGGTATTGAAGAGAACTCAGCTATTTGTTGAAGCTTGAAAGAATGGATAAATGTAATAGCGTATCCCATTTAATCTTACCTTCCAAAGCAAAGCATCCAGGTAGAGATAAGATGAAAGTATGATTAAATTAATCTTGCAGTGTTTAGAAAGCTGGTAATGAATAACACAAAGAAATATATTAATTAAATCTGCGGTAGTATTGTGTTAAGTGCTTTTAGGTAAGATTATAAACTTAATCTCATGTTTTTTCTCTTGTAGTTTAATAACACTTTTGAATTCTCTCTATCTGGGGAAAATGAAGAGGGATGAAGAAGAAAAGGCTTGTTTATGTGTAGGAAAATGCTGTATCACACATTCTAAACTGAATTATTTTTATTTAATCATAAATGTATTCCATGTTTGTTAAAGAAACAACCTTTTCTGATTTCATTAAGCTTCTCAGACATGCAGACTTTCAGCCAGGGAATGTGCTTTGTTTTGAACCCAGTCAACGATCCCTATAAAAATGTTTAATTAACTCTTTGCCAATGTCAATATAGTTCTATTATACTCAGAAGGCAGGATAAGCTCCCTCTGGTGGCTCATTTACATTGACATTCTGTTCTTTCCTTTAGTGCGAAGAAGGCTGCTGACCCCAGGTATCAGTCAGGTATCAGTTCCTTGTGGGCTTACGTTTTAACTGAAAAACATCAATAATTCTTTTTACAGAATGAAATAAGAGCATTTAAATTCACAGCAGTTTCATTTTGTTAGCAAAATAAATGAAGTGGTACAAAGTAAACAAATAAAATCGAATGACTTCCTTCTAAGTCTAAATTGCACAATACGTGAGTAGCAGTAACTTAGGAGTGGCACCCACTTACAATATCGCTTACTCTTAAACTTAGGAAATATTTGGATACCAAAAAAATTATTCAAGAATGTGAAGTCTATGGTTTTAAAATGGTTTAATCCTGTAGCTGAACTACAATTTTGAATTAAAATGAATTCTGGCATGAGAATTCATTTAATCTATTTCATAGCAGTAAAGAGAAGCATTTAAAGAGAGTGAGCATACCTGTCACTTATGTGTAGTCATCTTAAAATTATGAAGCCAGGAGACTTCATGGCTCAAAAACCACCGAGTTTAAAGTGAATTTGCCACCTCTGTAATGTTAATTTCCAGAGATCCTTTCAAATTCCACATTGTTGTAATTTAATGGGATCCTTATCATACTGGCAATGAACCGTTCTCTCTCTGAAGCAGTGAGAGAAGTATCAAAGCCAAACAACATGCAGACTGCGCAGAATGTTAAAAATTTGGTTCGATACAGATTAATTCTTTTTTTAAGCTATTTTCAATAAAGCTGATTACTGAATAGAATATAAAAAATTCAGAGAAATTATGGTTATTGGATTATGAATATTTAGCCAAAGGTAAAATTCTGTCCAGCTGTTTCTGAAGTAAAGGAAGGAAGAAGGGATCACAGGGGATGGGAATAGGAGGGAAATGGAGGTATTGTAGGTTTATAAAATAGGGATGTAAAAGAAAGTGACAAATACAGCATAATCAGCAACAGATACCTGTAGGAATTTGAGAAGAAATGTATTATAAAATGTTTTGAATGAATATTCATTTGCATTTTTAAATTAGTATCTTACATTTTTGTACGTTAAACGTTCTAGCAGCTGAGGCTCACAAAGCAAGTAATCTTTAGCAAACATGGAGAATCTCTAAAAGTAGACTTTCAATATTCACACAGATGGACATGTTTGTAAGATTTTATTTTGATGACAAATTGTGCGTTTTTCTTCATTGACAAATAATGATTGAGAGCACAGTTCATAGTATAATCTCCAATATACTGTGCACCTGCATGTCTGTGTTAAAAACAAACAAACTTGGTCTTTTAATTATATGTTGCCAGTAACAAAAGCAGTTGGGTTAGCAAATAATAATTTCCTATTGTGCAGGTTTTTTGGAACAGTTTCCCACTGTGTCCAAGTTCAGCATCTCCTTGATGTTGGTGGTCAGAACTTCCAAGAAGTGAGATGCCTAATTTTTTTGTAATATACTTTTTAATGGCATAGGTTCACTGTGGAGGAAAAAGGCCCACACCACTTCATCATTTAAAAAACAACTAAGCATATCACGCTCTTTAAGGTCTTTATTCTGGGTAACTGAAACAGACATAGATGGGATTAAAGAGATTATTGGTTAACCTAGAAATGTCTGACTTGAATCTCAAATTCACATGATTTAAAATGCAGAATTATTGGCACAGTGTCAAAAGGCAGGTTGACTTGAAGTTTAACTAGACAGGGAAATACACACTACAGAAAAGGTCCATTTTAGTACCTCAATACCACTAGTTTTCTATCAGTGCTTTTATCAAAGAGGTAAGTGATTATCATGACAAAGCAGAGCCAGGTTTCGAGATTCTTAATCCTGTTGTTCCTCAGAGGCAGGAAAAGAATTTTTCTATAGCTTTAAAACTTTATTAAACTTGTAGGGATTTTCTTTTACATTATAATATAGTTTAAGACTAACAGCTAAACCTTGCCAGTCTGGTATCTGAGATTTCTTGTCTTTGAATACTCTTAGAATAAATTTTTGAATTACAGCTGTCCTCGTAAACAGGTGCTTGTCTTTTTTGCCTGATGTATATTTAAAATTCAGAAAAATCTCCCTGTGTATGTTGGCAGCTGTTTAAACTTGCATTCAAACTAATTTTGGAATATCAGAGACTAAAGATGGAATAAACATGTCAATTATATATTTAAAAATTTGTAAAGGAACTATGTAAATGGCAATAGACTTAATTTTGTTCTTTGTAAATTATTTTGTAACTGGATATATATACAAAAAATACAATAAATACAAAAATGTGCACACATACACATGCCTTGCAGCATCTGTAAACTCCTATTACAGTTATGATTATTAATGCATTTAATAAACTTTTATGTTAGAGCACGTAGTAAACCTTAGTTTACACTGCCATCCCAGTTTTACTGGGTAAACCACAATGACCAGTGATGTAAAACTGGGATGGCAGCATGAAGTAGATCCTGGTTTATATCTGGCTAGTCTCCTTTAAGCTCAGTTAACTCAGACTGAGAAACAGAAACTATAGTAGTGGAACAGTGAGTCAACAATATTTTAAATCTTTCCCACATGGCTTTGCAAGAAAATCCAGCAAAAGAAAATAAGAAAACTGTATATAATTCCATTATTTCCTGTTAGAATTCCAAGTGCAACAGCATACAGCTAGCAATAAACATGATTTATTTCAAGGCTAGAGTAACTTTTTTTTTAATTGACCACATATTAAAACATTGTTGAATTTAACTTCTGATCTAATTATTTCTTTACTATTATTTTTTTTCTTGTTTTCTCAATATTTGTGAAAAATACTAAACTTTCTAAAGAAGTGTTAAGAGTTTACTTTCTTCATATCTATTTTTGTAATATAGCATCTGGGACATTCTTATGTTGTTTTGCATTTTAGGGGGAGGAAGGAATGCTGAAACAGTTTTCCTTCACATTTTGCTTCTTGTAACTGAGAGAACAGAAACTGTTGGCTGGGACAAGCTCACAAAAATTAAATTACTGTAAAGGCATGCTGTTTGTCTTTGGCTTCTCCGCCTGAGCTTGCTTCTGGTGATGTCTTGGGAAAGAAAGAGCACAGCAAAGAGTTAACTTTTTACTATACACCTCAGAAAGGCACATTTGCAATCCCTCCCAGCCTTGTCCTCCTTGTTACACCTCATTCGCTCACCACTGCTCTTCAGTTCAAGGCAGATCCTTTGACCTAAGCAGATTATTGTAGATGCATGAAGGACACAGCAAACTAGCTGTGCTTTTGAAGGAGGAGGATTTTGGCTCCAAAATAGGACACTAAGCTTTTCAGCCTTATGCTGCTTTACCTAGTCTGCACAAGGCAGTGTCTCTGGGTGCTTTGTGGACTCCTGTGGAATCGGATGGGAAACAAAAGCAGAAGTGGCAGCTGCTGCAAATGTGGGAGCCTGTGCCATTAGAGGGAGTCAATTGCTAATGAGGGCCTGCGAGACCTGGGTTTCCTTGGTTTCCTTGACAGTTATTAGGTAACACAGAAATTGAATTGTCTCCCACAATGCTCTTGAGTGATAGTGAGGCAACGGGGTGCTCCAGGGATGCAGCAGAGGAGTTATGACTTGCAGCAACTCATCACTCTAAGCATGTGAAACCCTCTGGATTATTGTGCCTTACTTCTTTCTTTGCTGTTTCTTGTTTGTTTGCAATTTGTTTTGCTTTTTTTTTTTTTTTTTAATGGAAGACCCTGGCATGTGCTGCATGGTTTCTCAAACAATATTTTCCCCTTTTTATTTAGAGCTGAGCTTGGCAAAGCAAGGATATGAACAATTATACAGGTGGGCTACTCAGGGGGAATGAAGATATAAGGCATCCAAACAGGTACTGGCAATCTGAAGCACTGTAAAAATGCCCCTCCAACAGATTTCTGTAGTTCCAGTGCGGGAGACTGCCAGCAATGGGAGAAGTTCAGTGGGCAGAAACAAAGAGAAGAACAAGGAAGTCGAGGTAAGAGGAAGGTTTCGATTTGCTACGGTACAATGAGTCTGCTTTTGGTAGCCAGTGGGTTTGGCTGCTCAGCAGGATGCGATGTGCTGTAACGTTACGCAGTACACATGGGTGCAGCGTGCTTCAGCACACTGGAGCAAGCTCCTGTGATAGCATCTTAACATTACATAGAAAATTAGTGTATTTGAAAAAAAAGGAAATTGCAAACTCCATTGGGAGTGTTTAACATTTTTATTTAGTTGCATGTAGTCTGCTAGTACTGACAGTCATTGTTATAAGCTGTCAAGTAGCAGCTGATTTAGAAACGGTTGGATAAAAAAGTAGTTTTAATGAGATTCCTATCTCTGTTTCAAAACAACAAAAATACCATGCTAAAGCCTTTCTAATGTGTGTGTGGCATTCCTGTATGCATGAGCTCTAAAACTTACTCTTTATTAACATTTAAAAGGCATTAGCATTTAGTTTTATATTACTTGACTGACTTTCTTTGATTCATAAACGTACAAAAGTGTTCCATCAGTAGAAATTGTGTCCTGTTTTTCAGTTAGGAAGACACTGTAGGTTCATATTATATTAATAGGTAGAACAAAAAGTACAGGAAATCAGTGCAATTTTAATGGTCGTCTTACCTGTAGGAATCTCTTTTGCTGTGTGTAGATTAAACGTGCATTGTGCAAGACCAAAAAAAAAGAGGCATCCCTTTGCATCTGAAAACATAAGTAGTCTGTTTATAGACATAGCAGTAAATGTACATAACATAGACATCTGCTTTTTACAGCCATGTTTCTTGTCTCTTGTGTTTTTCTTACCCTCTTGCTGAATGGAAAATAAGGAACTATTGGGAAAACAAACATAATGTCTTTTAAGTATTATCTAAGAGACTGTGTGACAGACTCATCCCTGAAGAAAGAAGTGGTGTTTTAAGTTTCTTGGTTTTTTTTTGGCATGGTTTTCAGGATACTAAGTTCAACAGATGATTGATACTTATACCATGTCTGTGTGATTGGGGAAAAGTATTAGTAAGCTTGCAGGCTTTTTTTTTCTTCTTCAAGATACCCTTTTTTGCTCAATATTTGGCTTCAACATGTTCACTGTGATTATTCTGTTTTTGGTTTGTTTTTTTTTTTTGTTTGATCACCTATGTATAAGCAATGCTTTTCTGAAGTAGTCTCCAGTTGCTTATTGGTAGCACTGTTTTCGGAGTTCATAAAATCTAGGGATTTATGTTCTGAAATGGGAACTTTTTGCTCTGGTTTGTTTTTATTCTTCCACTGATTGGTTTAAGATGAAGGTTCAGGTGGAAACTGTTCTTTCTATTAAGACTCAAGATGTGGAAAGCAGAAGTGTATAATGTTACCTAGCTTAAAGTGCTTTCTTTTTTTATTTGAATATGAGACATGCAACATTCACATAGGGGTAAGATGAGTGTGATAGTTCATTTAGGGGGATGGGAGAAGCGTGGAGCTTCTTAATTGCAATTGTCTTGTGCTTTTGTAGGTGTTTTTCCCTGTGAGGGCTGGGTTGCATAATTTAAGCAAGACCCCAGAAAACAGTCTTCTCTTGAAAGCTGTAGAAGTTACAGCAGAAATGAGCAAATTGGCTGGGATAATTAATTTCCAGAAAGGTCTCTTCTGAAATGAATATTAAAACCCAAACAGCAGCACCAACAACAAAAAATCAAACACACACAAAAAGCCCACAAAGCCAAAAACCAAACCAACTCCACAAAACTCCTAACCAAACTTAAAGTATATGCTGCTTATTGAAATGTATTTGCCAAAGTTCTCTTTGCTGGGCAGAGCCTAATCATCCTGGTCGAATATCTGCTCATCCATTAAGGCTTATGGCTATGATTTATACATTATAGAACAAGTGATAAAGACTAAAGTTTCTGACATAGTATCTATAGTTTATGTAAATTATGATGATGTCCAAGGTTGTTTTGTGGATGCAATTTGGGAGTAGTGAACCGGCCAGACAGAGGCCATCTTATTGTTCAGAAAGAGGTTACTCAGGCTGATGATGGTCTTCTATGCTTACAAGTCCTACACAGTATGGTCCTCATAAAGAGAAACGTCCTTGCTTGTACTCAGTGTTTTCTGTCTGTGTTATTTCTGTGATTGCTTGCTTTCTCTCTTTGAGTAGCAGGCTTTCTGAGGTGAAAGCTAAGTGAAATAGTTAAATCATAGAATAATTAGGGTTGGAAAGGACCTTAAGATCATCTAGTTCCAACCCCCCTGCCGTGGGCAGGGACACCTCACGCTAAATCATATCACCCAAGGCCTCGTCCAGCCTGGTCTTGAACACTGCCAGGGATGGAGCATTCACAGCCTCCCTGGGCAACCTATTCCAGTGCCTCACCACCCTTACTGTAAAGAACTTCTTCCTTGTATGCAATCTAAACTTCCCCTGTGTAAGTTTTAACCCATTACCCCATGTCCTATCACTACAGTCCCTAGTGAAGAGTCCCTCTCCAGCATCCCTATAGGCCCCCTTCAGATACTGGAAGGCTGCTATGAGGTCTCCACGCAGCCTTCTCTTCTCCAGGCTGAACAGCCCCAACTTTCTCAGCCTGTCTTCATATGGGAGGTGCTCCAGTCCCCTGATCATCCTCGTGGCCCTCCTCTGGACTTGTTCCAACAGTTCCATGTCCTTTTTATGTTGAGGACACCAGAACTGCACACAATACTCCAGGTGAGGTCTCACAAGAGCAGAGTAGAGGGGCAGGTTCACCTCCTTCGACCTGCTGGTCACACTCCTTTTGATGCAGCCCAGGATATGGTTGGCTTTCTAGGCTGCAAGTGCACACTGCCGGCTCATGTTCATTTTCTCATCAACCAACACCCCCAAGTCCTTCTCTGCAGGGCTGCTCTGAATCTCTTCTTTGCCCAACCTGTAGCTGTGCCTGGGATTGCTCCAACCCAGGTGTAGGACCTTGCACTTGGCATGGTTAAATGGGCTTCCTAGAGCAGTGAAAGCATCAAGCTGTTTTAGGTCCAGCGAGACATGAAAAAAATGAAATGTCTGAAAGGTCTTCCATTTGCTAGGATAACAGTTATTAGGATTGTATGCCAAATTCTGTTATTTCTAGAGAATTTTATATGATGTCCTTACAGCATCATGAAAATTTATGAAGAGTTCGTCTTCTATCAAATTGCAGAGCTTGCTGCAATGAATGATTTCCAAGTTCACAGTGAATTACGCAAGTCTAGCTGACTTAAGATCCCAGTTGCATATGATTCATGATGCAGCTCATTCTGTAATGCTTTCCTGTAGTTTTTGATGCTCAGACATGCTTTATCTGAAGGTTTTAGTATGTACCTGTGCACACTTACAGGTGATTGCCAAATACTGGTCTGTTTTTTAAGAATATTAAGTGTGGTATGGATTATGAGCCCAAAATGGATATCTGACCAATATTAGGAGTAGAGGCATGATAATAATGGATAGAGGGAGCTTTTTAAGGCAATTTTCTTATGCAGTATCACTTGCAGGAGCAAAAACAATGCAGTCTATTCCTGTAATTTTGGGGTGATTTGCCTCAAGATTTAGTGGAAGTTGTAGCTGACAATGAATTTTGCATCAACTTTAACTATAGAGCTTCTTTGTATGTAATCTAAAGATGTAGTAGGTTTTTTCCGCAATGAAACAATGAAAATGCTTAGGTATAACCAATTGCAGCAGCTCTGCACTACATTCCATATGCAGGTATAATCTTCTGCTAGCTTATTTCACTGATTTTAGGAAGGCTTAACTGTCATTAATGCTACATGTTTTTCTCATAACATTTAAGTGAACAAGCTCTCTTTGTTTCTTATTCTTTTACTGATGTTCTTGGAAAGGGTTGTTGCAGAAACAAAGACTAAAGTGCATAATATGCGATGCATTTGTAGCATGGTGTGAACTATTGAGTAGTTCAGCTTTCTTTAGTAGTTGAGAAAAATCCCAAGTTTACAGTGAAATGTGTAATTGTGTTTCTCTGATGGATAAAAACAGTTGGGTGTCTGTTTTCAGAAGAGCTTTTTAGTGGAACTGTTGTTCAAAGTAAAAAGTCAGTAACCTAAAAATCAAATTATGCCATCCGGACTCCAGATCTCTAAAGTCTTTGAAAACAGGTTTCAGTGCCTTAAGACCAGTGCCGTATTAACATTTGTACCCCATTATATATGCATATAATATTTCAACAGTTATGTTGGACCTCTGGTTGGTTTTCTCTACTATGATAAAAAAGGCTAAAGAAATATATGATTATTGAAGAATGTGGTTGATTAAATGCCTGCGCTGGCTGATAATTTCATTATTTATTTGTGAACATATACAGTGAAGTTCATAAAGTAGCCTCTGTTTAGATTGTCTGTGTACATGCATAGTTATTCTAAAATGAGTTAAGTACAGAAAGAAATTTTTGTACAGTAGAGAAAACTGAACAAGGTGGCAGCTAAGTGAGAATACTGATTAATGTTAACCTTGAGTTTGCAAGGGTCATAGAATAAACTGCCATGACTACTGTGGAAAAAATACCTTGAATGTAGTCTACTCAGAGTGGTACAACTAAGATTATAAACCAAAAAATAATTGTCATGGTATGGCAGATACTTGCTGCCAAAATAAATTTGTAGACACTATGCTTCTTGAGCTTAAGCACTGGCTTTCAAAATGTGTTACTTGAAAATTCATATGCTGTTTTTAAAAACTTTAGCATAATGAACTCTTGTCCGTGGGAAGCAAAAATTAGGTCTGTTTATCTAAGTGTAATAATTTCAGAGTACAAGATATCTTAATAAAGGCACTGACAAGTATGAGTCAATCTCAATTTAGTTACCTTGCAAGAATTTTCATTAAAAGATAAAAAAAATGCCTTTGCAACAGTAATACAGTTTTTGGACACACTCATATGGTAGTACTACCGGCTTGTTATAGTGATGAGTGTGAAGGTCTATTAACCCAAACCTGATATCCTAAAAATGTTGTAAAATTTTATATTCTCTACTTACCATTAA